CTGCAGATTATCATTTTTGTTTTTACGAAGCTCTAGTTTTATGTATTTTGTTTTACAAAATGTAACCACACAGAACGCTTTCGGTATGCGAGCGCAGAAAGGATGAAGTAAGTGACCAGGCTAGCCACCAATCTCTCCGTAGCTCGGGGTCCGGGAAGCGCCTGCCTGATGTCTGTTAAGCCTTGGGTTCCGTTTGGGAGTCAGGTTTGATAAAAGCAAAAACAAAAATAACCCTTCCTTTCTTTCCGAAGCCTTCTTGCAATTGAGCACAACAAATATCCCGTGCCGCTGCGCAATTTGGTTGCGCATATGGGCGATTTAAATCCCCACTGAATCATTTACGCTCAGCGAAAGTCCGCAGCCTGCCTATTTTTATAGGAAGGAACCTGACCAGAAACAACAAGCACAGTGAGAAAGCGAGCGCGAAGTTAGAAGAAAAGGGTCGGAAGACGAATTTCTGTGCGCGGTTAGGCGTTAATATGAAAGGATATTGCTGCCTGTGCGGTCGAGGATAAATTGCGGTTTCGAGACTTTGTCTACTGCCGCTGCGGTAGCCAAAATTGTACACAAAAATATGGTTTTGAAACAGTGAAAAAAAAAACAAATACAAAAAGACATATATGTTGTAAGTTACATTCCTAGCCAACAAAAACGAAAAACAGTCGACCGTCCGCCATCGGAAGGATGCAATAGATATAAACAAAATATTATATGAGAAAAACAAACATTTGATATGTTCTTCCGCCTTCAAATACCAACCGATTTACCCTGTTAGTGTAGGGCAAATATCCAGGCCAGAACCATCACACGCTCTTGTATACCACTTTTGATTTAAAGAAAGTACCCCTTTCTTATACCTTCTATAGTAAATGGTTCTCGTTCATGTATCGTCAGTGTTTCGGCTGGTATCTGAGCGACTTCATTTTAACTCAGTTTGCAGAAAGCGCAAGAAGAACTTCGCTAGATAATAATTTAAGGTATTGAGAAATTCAAAAGCTTTTTTTCTACCTGAATGGTAGTTTTCTTTACCTGGTTTTTCTACTCCTCAATTGGTGAAATCCCTGAACCTTTTATACGTCTGGCATGAAGATAACCCTTTCGGGCGGAGAATCCCCGTGGTATATAGTCTATCACGGGGATAACCCCCTAGGATGCAATATTGAAGCACATTAATATAGTTTTCGTTTTAGTGTCTGTAGAGGAAACAAGCTCCGTTCGGCTGTACTATACATGAACCCTCGGGTATTCAGTTTGAAGTACTTCAAATTTACTGAGCCGGACTTTTACTACAAAATGTAACCTCGGCGGCATTACTTTTCTTGACGTTTGGGAGGTTAATGGCTGGTTTATTCGTGTTGTTATCTAGCGGTGATTCCAAAGTTCATTTACCATCAGCTTTAACTACTAGCAGATAAATCGCAGATCATTTTATATAACTTCTGATATTACACAGTACACTTCAATGGGGCATAAAGTTCCGTTCGGAATGCATGTAGTCAGCCTGTGTAGTATTAGTGTTTAATCAAAAAAAAAAGTGTATCAAGAAAACTCTTTTTTTCACTAAAAAGCACCTTGCAAAATGTCTACAGAATGAACCAACAAAAGAGGAAGTTTTGTCTGCAATGAGTTGAAGCATGTTTTACCGGCAGTAGTAACCGAATACGATTTTTACATGTCACCAGCTACTTGTGTGAAAAACATTGGCCCCAGCACTGAGTGTAGATAGATGTCCATATCAGCCTGACTGGGAGGTGGATATCGATGGATATTTTTTTTTATTTTTATAAGATCGCCTTACCAGCCAAACTGGTTGATAACCTTAACTTAACAAGCAAACCGCAGGTCTCACGGCCGCTTGTATTTCTTCTACACCACATGAAGAGCAACTGAGAAGCGATTGCGGGAAGCCAGCTGAGAATGGTCAGAATGAGGAATCTACCACATAAAATAATAAAACCTAAGGTATCAATTTGTTTCGTTGAAAGGTTTCAGTCGCTGTTAAAAAAATATCAATTTTTGATCACTGCTTAACAAAACTACATAAAGTGAAACTGTATACCTGCTATAAGATGATCGAACTTTAACAAAGCTGGCCTGTTTTCGTGACTTTTTTGTATCTTTAAATACATCTTTGCGTGACTTCGCGTGGTTCTGTCGGAGGAAAATCGATGATCACCTTTTAAGTTGTCATTCGCCACACTATCAAGCCGCGATAATTTGCAGGAAACGCAACTTTCATAAGACTCCCTTCAGTTTTACGGCATATCATCCTCAAGTTAACACGGTATGTTCTTGATGTATTACCACAATTCCACGACCGTCAAGGGATGCCAAAAGTAACTCAAAGTTGATAGTTTTCATCAACCTTGGAATATCGTGTCTGTCCTAAACCAAGAGTCCGATTAACTACAGATAGCCACTGCTCCAAACAACCACGTAGGGTAATCCTTTAATCTGTCTTGCAGTACATATTACAATATTGTTAATTGTATTTAAACAAACAAAGTTTTAACGTGCGATCCCGCATCTTTCGTACACTGAAGGATGAAGAAGTGTGTTTTGATTTACTTGATATCATTGGCAAAAAGCCTTATTGTATTTACCAAAAAACAACAGCAAACAGTAGAGTTTGTATTACTATTGGGTTTCACAATGGCTGCTGAAGAAACACCCTACTTGCCGGGCCCTTGAGAAATCAACCAACCATTTGTGATGTGGCATCTCAAAAATGAACTTGGCCTTTGGAGTCTTTGGAGCGAATCTTCGTCCAAATCATCTCTTTTTTTTCAGTTAATATATCATCCGTGAGATTTAAACCAAAGGCCCACTGAAAAACCAACAATTCGCAGCCTTGTCTTAACACCCATCAAAAGTGGGCATGATTCGCGACGGATAAATCAAGATAAATCATTGTGAAACATTTTAAATCTAAGTCAGGAATTGTCACAAGCATCATGCCAAATTACCGCTGAGTAGGACTCATTTGAAGCATTACTGACATGGCAGAATTTTAGTTCACAAAGTTAGAATTTCCGTAAAATTTAATGATGTCTTCTTTACTGACTATTTGAGTAAAACAGTTATGAAGTCCCGCTAGTACTGTTATTAAAACAAGGGGTAGCCAGACATCCTGCCCTTTCCCTGTTATCTTTAAGTCTCTAGCGGATCGTAAATTTAAAAAGGTTTTTTTCCCTAGTTTTTTTTCCTTCCTCTCTTCCCCCGCGCTCCTACCACCAAAAAAAAAAAGAAACAAAGGGTGTCTCAGAACGTAGTGATCTAAAGACGAACGGATATTTCTTACGAAAGAGTGCGGTGTGCAGGGTATGATACCAAGAGGTATATATTTCGTTCTTTTGCTCATAGCTGAGTCAAACTTGCACACCATGTGCTTTGTATCTTTTGTTTTCTTAAGGCCCTACTGGTAAAAAGCAAAGAGTCGTCAAATAAAATATGTATCAAAACAATATTTCTCTGCCGGGGCATCTGGAACAAGCATGGGGCAAATTTTCCAAGTGTTTTGCAGACTTTTCGACCCATGATGTCGTGTTGACACTAATGCGATTTCGCAAATTTAAATTCTTTGCTTAATATGAGCATCCTGAAGAAATGCCTTCAGCAATTTATTCCTTTTTCAAAGTTTCTAAGAACAGGACGTTCACGGTGAGCATCAAAAGTGGTTAGTTAGTACATCTTGTGATTTCCCTCCGCGAACATGAGCAGGTCGAACTAGTTGTCAAAATGTCACTGAAACTTAACTCTCCTTCTTCTAATAGCCTTGTAACAACGACGCACTACATGTTAGAGGTTCATTTTAATGCGGAAAAGTTCCCTATAAAAGGAATGACAGGGAAAATCAATTCAAATTTACGCTTACCAGGCGCGGATCTAGGATAAATATTGACCGATTTCAACCTCGTCCCCAGGGCTTTTCCTCCTAAACGATCACCGAAGGCGCAAGCCTAAAGGAGTTCTGGGGCATGCTCTCACGGAAAATTTTTTAGATTTCAACTCCCTAAAGTCCCCTTTCCTGGGCCTTTTCTGGGTCATTCAGACAGGATATTGGCCAGATTCCAACTTGGGAAGGTTTTTAATGGAAATTTATTTATTTATGAAAAATTTGACCGATTTTCGTAAAACGGTGGAAACCGGTGTGGATCCGCACCTTCTTACCATACGAATTGAGAACGAAAGGTGAATACCAATTCAAGTTACTGGTGTTAACTACGGAAGGACCCATTTCTCTCTGACCTTTGCGTCAATAGGCAAATCAGTTTAGGGTATCACCAGTCATTTTAAGTGCAACAACTTGAGCTTAAGGCTAAGAAAACCGGCCACAACAATCATTTTGTTTTATGTTTGCTCTACAGACTCTGAGTAGACGGTGCAAAAAGCCCCAAACACAGAAATTGTTTAGTTATTCGCCAGGAGCAAATATGAGAACGAAATCGCATCTCAAGTTTTCATAACTAAATAAAGACAGTCTTTTATCATTAGAGTATGAAAAGGTAACGCAGCACTTCCATACATGTCGGTAGATGTTATATTTACTTTCCAGAGGTAGGGGGAGGGAGATGGGAAAGGGGAGTCTGTTTCATTTATTCCTCTTTCTTTTCTTTGACACCAGTGTCCGGCTTGCGGGCGCCTTTTCTCTTTTTCCATTTCATTGCTTCTTTCGAAGACATAACTGTATTTTACAAAAATAAATAGTCTTAACAGCTTACAACACAGCTCATAGTAAACAAAGAGCGACAATAGCTTATAACCTTCATTTGCACAGCCTTTGTTATACTTTTCAATGAGTCTGTTTAACATATGAAGACAGTTTCCTGTGTTTAACAGCCAAACGACCGTTATACAGTGATGTGTTTGCAAAGGGAAATCTTGCAGTCCGAATACTACATGGGAAACTGACGAACTGATTTTGTTATCTTTTTCAGGTTATAAGAGATTAACACGATACTCGTTAAATATTGAGACATCATTCCTTACAAAGTGAAGACATGGCTATTTTATTTGCACATACCATCTCCAAGGCGATATGTGTTATAGTGATTATTTGCCTCTCAATAGAGACAATTCAAACGAGTATAACACAGCACACTGACAGCAAGAAATATTTTGGTTCGATCTTGGTCAATGCCCAAGAAAAAGACAAGAGAATGGCGGCATCGATATCAAAGGTTTTACTCAAACGCGACCAACGGCGAAATTTCGAAACTGACGTGGACGAAACATACTTCAAAAACACCGACACATTGCGCCCAGAATCACGAGAAAGATCACCAAAGCTTAGATCAAAAAGACGTGTTTTTGGTAAAGATGAACGCCTCAAAGTGCCAAAGAGCCGCATTCAAGAATGCCCCTTTTCAGCCTCGGTAATACTTTCTACCGGTTGCTCTGGAACGCTTATTTCGCCAAGACACGTCCTGACCTCAGCCCATTGCCTTCACAATGGCAGTAATTACGTCAGTGGATACAGAAATTTAAGAGTGGGGTTCCTGTTGCAAAATGGAACCACAGTTTGGCAAAATATAAGCAGTACTAAGATGCCGAGAGAGTGGAAAGCTGGACACGACAAGAATGCCATTAAGTACGACTATGCCTTAATCAGACTGAAGAAAAACCACAATCGCTGTTGGTTACCCATTGCTCCGAGTACAACCTTCCCATATAGAAATGGTTGCGCGCACAGATATATTCATTTCACAGCATTTGATGAAGACAGAAGGGAAGGCACTATGCTCTACAGGTACGATGCGATACGTTTTTCGACACAGTAGTACGGCTACGATTACAGGGGGCTGGTTGCAAATAAAGCCAAAAAAAATCACCTAAGCAGAAGCCCAGGCTTGAGTCGTTCTTTTCAGAAACGTTTCGGACCTCTTTATAGCGGAAACAACAACAGAAATAATTACAATTATATTTTTTTCATACTTCATATACCTGACGGTACAGTTTTAACTGACGATTGGAGCCTCCTCATATAGGCCATAATTAGGAGTGCCCTCCTCCGAAGTGGGGGGGAGCAAACTCTTTTTATGGACCGAAAGGTATTTTGGTATTTTTCTCTCGTCTTGGCGGCAACCACTTTGTGAGAACCTTTAGGAAAAAATAAAATCAAAAAAAGAGTTAAGTATCACTATAAATTTGTTATCATGTAAGGAAAACTCCCCTGTATAAGCCTATCGGTTTGTCTAGGCGTCTTCCCTATTTCTGTGTCCGATTTAGTTCTTTGTTAATCCTCTTTCTACCCGTAAATTCATCTGACCTGTGGTAATACAATTGGACCTCCACTAACGGCTACCTCTTTACAACGGCCCCTTTCGCACGCCCCGAAAAATTTAAATCATGTTTTTTTTTTCTTTCTCTATGTCTTTTAGAGGATGCCGAGTTTCGGATTTTGATTCCAACATGTTGTTCCATTGCTGCGACGCCATAGAGGGGTCTTCTGGTGCAGGGGTTTATGAGAAACAGCTGCATAACGGCGTCAAAAAGCGTTATGTTATTGGCGTAAATTCTGGGAATCGTGACGTACGAAGAAGGACCCGCCCTCTATTGCCTTGCCATGTGCCTATTCGTTTCCTCGGCATCTACACACTGAATTATAACGCTGCTCTTCGTTTAAGACACAGCGATGTTTTTCACATTTGCACCTGGATGAAGCGTCTTGGTGGCGAGACGTGCAAACGTATCATTAAAGAAAGAAAACGACGTCGGCGACAATCAAGACAACGCCGCGAGAGGAACAGAGACAGGCAGTGTGAGAACATGCTGTAGCGAATGGTTGCTAAGACAATGCCAATCACGTGAATTTCCCTCAAAGCGATGCAGGGCTTTTATCAGCAGATAAGCTGAAGCTGTCTGCTAGATTAATCTATCCCGCTTGAGATACTTAGAAGACTACCTTGTCTGTAAACTTGCAAGGAGAAAAATTAGCGGTAAAAGTTTGAATAATTTCACATTCTTAAGGGATTTTCTTTATCGGTATTGAAACGAATGTTTCGCCATTTTGTGGACGGCAAAACAAAGTCATTCAAAAAATGTATTGCTTGAAAACCATTACTTGTTATCCGTATCTTAATCATCAAACAAATTTAAATAAATACATTATATGTAAAAAGTCATGTGGTTCTTATGTTGACCAGTTTTTTACCATTGTACGTACTTGTGAAGTCATAGAGAGTTTATCTCCCACAAAATCTTAGCCTGCCTCCTTCCTCCGGCGGCAATTCATATCAATTAAAATAATAGTAATTTAAAATAACCAAATAAATGAGTGCGGGCCCTAATTTCGTCATTTTACACCCAGGAACGTATAGCTATATTTGGGTAACGTCACGTAACGTAATGTAACGTAAAGTGCAGCACTGAATTTATTTGTTTATGATTCCCCCAACTGATGACAGACCACACAAATGTTAATATCGCGCGCGAGTGTAGCTCCATTATCCGAGAAATTTTGGTAATCACGTGACCGTACGTTCGTCCTTCCGTCCGCACCACAGGCCAACCAATGTGAAATGTCAAACTTTCTAGCTAGTATGGGAACCTGTAACCTGCGTTTAACTTGATAATAGACATATTATGGTCGATTGTGTAAATGGGAGCTTCGCGTTTAGCTCTGGCTAAATCTATATATTACCATCCTGAAGGGAATATGAATGCGGGCATCTCTTGGGCGCCTACAACAAAACAGCAACAGAAATTCAAATTCTGTACAGTCATTCCTGTAAAATAGAATCATGCATTTAGGTTTCCACATCTTTATTTTTTTGCCGCGAAAATGACATTACATGATCTGCGACATCTAGTTATGACATCCGAAGGAATCTTTCGCGAGGGTCCCAAAACTGTTAAAGGATAACGAAAACGTCTGCACTCATAGATGTAGATATCGCCTTTTGAAATTCAAATGTTCCGCTTATTTGTTACTAAAAGAAAACTTATAAAGGGTTACGAAAAGAACAAATTGAAAGGAAGTCGGTGCTAATATGAGGGATTACTCTTTTTATCTATACACTTACGTTATTTCCAGGTGGAAACAACTACTCAACTGAAACATTAAATAGTTTTTATATGTAATAAAAAAATGAATGTTTTCAATGAGAATCATTTGTTTTGTTTTCTTTCCACCTTAATTCTTTCAGGGTGACTGTGCCCATAGATGCACTTATGGAGATTTTCATGCTTCTTTTGAGTCTAATGATGACGTATGACCTATCAAATCATACAAGCTTAGCAAACTATTACCTCTATAAGCTACCGCGCTCAAAGAGGCAGCAGTTATTACCTTTAAATCAACCTAAATAGCGAGTTCCAATGGCTTGGAATTGACTTGTTCCCTGTCTCCAACCTGCTACAGTGGAACCTCTACAGTTCAGGGGAGACCCTTAAGGAAGACGAAGAACCGCTTTCTGGATTTTCTACCACTAAATCGTTATTCATATTTCATTTCACATTGTGAAAGCTGTCATCATTGTGATTTGTGAACACTTAAACTTATCACCCTCTTTGTAGTCAGTCGCGTTTAAAAGAGCCAAGGTGTCTCTTCAAAGGAAGTTAAACTCGGGTTTCGGGACCCAGGAAAAGCGTTCCTTTCCCCTGAATTGAGGTTTCCCTTCAACAAATACAAAGATTATGTCAACATTTTTTCCGGAACCAAATGAGCCGGGAGAGAATAATCTCTCTTTTTGCGCCACAGTGAACGAGAGTCGTGGTTTCGTGAGCCGCCAAATGGCCGACAACGAAAATAATGATGACGACGATTATCAAATAAAAGTCCATTCACAAGGAGACAAAGTTGAGACAATAATCCGTTAATTCTTTATTCAATATCACATTAACAGTGATTTTCGCAGTTTCTTTTACTGTTGATAACTCCTGGAACTAGTCTTTACCCTATCCTACAACAAATCAGAGTTTAAGCTACCTACCTAACTCACCTAAGTGAGCCGCAAGGGAAACGTCCATACAAAAATGACGAAGGTGCTCGTCGGAAAATTCCAAAGACACTTCTAAATGATACCAGAATCTCGATTTGTGCGCGATCCTCAGAACATTTTGACGACTAGTTCCCATCACTTCAGTTTCGACCCCAATTAAGGCCCCTGCAAGATATTACTACAGGTCTAATGGTGGGGACTGTTGGAAACTGAAGCAATCTAAGCGGTACCAATCCCCGCACTTTGAACCCTTAAAAAGTACAACAAGAACCCCCTTCATTTTGATAAAGTACCCCACCCCAGGAGAAGGCATACGCTTAAGGTTTTAAAACCCAAACTAGCTTCCGCCTTTTTCTTTACGATCGCATTAATTAAGGGCCTGTGTACAACCTCAGGTAGGTGAGGTTACCCGCTTAAGTGGGGTAACCCGTCTGTCCATATAATCTCTCATTTTAATTTGATCACGTTCACATGGTAGGTGGAGTGATCCCCCACCTCCTTGTAAACACGCCCTAAAAGGGCGCTTTTGGTAACAGTTCCCTGAAGTATGTTTAGTATACGTATAGACATTTATCACTGGATGAGGTACATTTTCCCTTAATTAACCTCTTTTTTTCTACTAACTCCCTATCCACAGGGTTATAATTAATATTTTGTACAATTCATTATCGAAAAAAAAAAGACGGTAAAACAAAAATAAACTCATCCTTACATTAGTTCGCCGAAATAAATATATTTTGTCCAACGAACGACTTTAATTCATTAATATTTTTAAATAACATTGTAAACGAATGAAAAGAGGTTTTCTTCGCACAAATCACTGGCTAGCAATGATCTCCTCTGATCTGGAGAAATGCGTTTCAAGTTGATTCAAATTACAAAAAATCTTAAGTTTTCTTTACTGAGTAACACTAAATTTTTTTAGATAAATAAACTGTCAAGGCAATAACGTTTCAATTGCGATCTTGCGTTTAGTTTACATTTCCAAATAAAAGCAAAACCACTTTTACTTAACCAATTTTAAATAATTCTCCTACTGTTGTACGCGCTCAAATTTAGGTTTATAAACTCAAAACCGACACTGTATTTTGGGATTAATTGATATATGTACAAAGATCGATATAAATTTGCAAGGAACTCGTTTTACACGGTTTTCCATCGATTGTTGCTGGCCAAATGTACGCTACGTCTATAAATCTTTGAAAACAATTCAAGAAAACAAAGAGAGGAGAAAGCAGAGACAGAAAAGAAGGGAAGAGTTCGATTAAGGCATAAAACCTACGAGATTATAAATCTTTCCAGCGCTCTTTGAAATCCTTAGGACCATTTGTGTATTATTTAGCCGCCGATTTGACGTTACCGCGCCTTCCCGAGATCCGCGCTTTCGCAACGGTTAGAGGTTTTCCAGCGGATAACACCAGTGACATCAGTTAATATGGTTTTTTCGAACAAAATTTACCACACGAGGCCTAAAAAACGTTTCGCTGGATCACAAAGCAAGGAGATAAAATAGTTTTGGTTTGATTGCAACAACCAACAAAACCGCTCTAAAACAATTTCCTGGCACGAAAATTTAACAATTGAGAAATATACCTAACAAACAATTAAGATTTCATTGAACGCTCTGAATAGTGGAGAGCAAACTCCCCTCACTCCCTCCTCCCTGGGAATCTTACCAGACATTCCTTATATAACAACATAGCAAACCAATGCAGAAGATGAAATAGAAACGAAGAAAAATCCAGGATTCTAGTATAGGGCATATCAAATTTTGTTGACTAAACGCCGGGTCAATAGAGGATGTTTTAAGTAATATTTATACCCTTGGTCATTAGTTTTTTGGTATGATAACTTGAGATAAAAGGGTTTTCAAGTTTTCAAGAAGAAAAATAGCAAACCTCGCTCCATAAACCCTCCAGTTTCCAACAAATTTCGGACACACAAGGCGTTTGAAATAAACGCCTGATCCGTTAAATTGAGAAAAGTAAGGTAGCCACCACCTTTGTAGCAAAGCACGCCAAACAAACCGACGAACAGAAAAAGAAGAGCGGGTTTTACATAAAGAGAATTAATAAAGATGACTGAATCGTCACGCAAGGCTTCTTTGCCACGCAACGCTTTTCACCGAGAGGATTTGCGTGACGATTAAGGCCATCCATCTCCGGGAAATTACAACAGAATACACTGCGGGTTCTCGGCGTCATCTCCTCTTGAGTTTTTCTCTCTTTTTTCCGCCATTCTCAACTGCTTATCTAACTCCTGAAGTTTCTTCCTCTGTTCCTTAATTCTAATCAACTCATCTGTTTTTCCCTTGTCGCTCATTTCCTTCTCCAACAGATCCGCCATGAGGAACAACTCCTCCGCCGCTTTGGCCGCGCATCGCTGCTGCCTCACGTCCAGCTTTGCAAGTTGTCGTTTGTCCTTCTGTACTTTATCCTTTACTCGGTGCAGAATCTCTGATCGCTGTTCCAGCTCTTGTTCCACGTGCTCTAACGTCTCCTTATGTACAGCTTCTAAATCAGCTAACTTTCGCCTCTCTGCGTCCAAAAGCTGATTCACGCTCGATTTCCGTTTTTCCAGCTCCTGAACAGCTTCTCCGATAGTCAGCTCCGCGACCTCTTGCTGTTCTTTGTGCTTTTTCTCAAGCTCCAGCAATCGAACTTTTTCTTTCCTTATCAGACTACGTTCTGCTTCTCTTTCATTCTCCAACTCTTCAAGTTCTTCTTCGTTTAACGTTTCTTTCTCTGCTTGTTGCAGCGCCTGGTTGTGTTGCCGCTCTAGCAGAGCGATTCGTCTCCTCTGCTTGTAGATTAACTTCTTGCGCTCACGTCCCTCCCGGTCAACATCCTCACATTTTTTCTCTATTTCCTGTTCGTAATCAATCAACGGTCCAAGCTCATTTCGAACCAAACCCTCCACCTTTTCTCTGACCGGCAGGAGAATAAGCTTCTCGCTCTCCAGATGTTTCTCTAACTTGGTTTTAGTCTCTGTTACCATCAGCGTCGCCTTTTGAAGCGCCGTTTGATGTTTGTGCAAAAGTTCAGTCAAAATTTTTCGTTCCTCTCTGATATCCTTGATTTCCTCGCGAGTTTCGAATTCTAAAAGTTCTTTCTTTTTCGTGAAATCGTCTTCAGTTAGCTCCACATCTTTATCTTCGTTTTCCAACTCTTCCAACCTGTCAATGAAACAAGAACCTGGTATAAACAATCTTTTTAAAACCTGACGTGAAACAATAATAATAATTCCGGTATTTATCCTCGACACTATTTATAGCACTAATGCTAGTGGGACCGAGCAAGTGCCTGAAACAAACAATTCAAATTGAACTCAAAAGGGTTAAGAATCCCAACTGGCCGGAGGCAAACCAGTTAGTTATTTACAAGTGTGGCCGAGGATTTGAACTTGGGACTACCGAAAACAAATCCAGCCAGCGATCAGAGCGGGACTTGAACTCGGGGCCTCCGATTCGTAAGTCCAGCGCTCTAACCACTCGGTCACGCTGCCTCCTCAGATTTAAATTTCGCCTATCCTTGAACTACTGTGACCTCACTTGGTCCTCGTCGCCGTTGTCATGCACAAGACCATTGGAAACAAAACCACGTGACATTAAATTATACAGCCTAGTTTTATAGAGACAGAGTTTTTAATCAAAAAGACGCGTTAAGCCTGAGTTTTACTGACCAAACTTAACACAACCCGGCAAACTAAGATTATGTCCGCACGAACCCGTATACAAACTTGTCTCTTTATGTACACCCGGTAACGAAATTTATCCGTTTACCATTGTTCTAGTGTGGACAGAAGCCGTCAAGGCACGCATCCATATGTACTTGAAAATTCACACGGACTCGTTTGCATGTATCTTGAATACGAAGCGTATTCTTTATTCCGGTTATAAGTCCCCCTCGGATATGAACCCCTCCTAAAGCCCCTTACGAAGAACCTTACAGTACCGGATCCAGACCTTGGGATAAAGGGGTGGGGGCCCGGTCATCCAGACCCTTAGATAAAGGGGGGGAGGGGGGGCGGTCTCTAAAAAAATATTTTTTTGGCCCTTCGGGCTTCAGATATGGCAGAAACTCCTCTCACCTTCTTCTTGCTTCCTCCACTTTCATTCTCGCAGCTCTTCTCTCCATGATCATTTTCTCCTTCTCAATTAGTGACGCTTCCTCTACTTCCTCCGCACTCTCTAACATCTCGCGCACGTCTTTTATCTTGACGTAAGCCTGCTCCTGAGCTCGTTTGTGCTTCGCTTGCAGTTCCTCCAAGCGACGCCACTCGAATTCAATCGCCGACTTCCCTGTCGTCAGGCTGCGGAGTCCCTCTAACGTCTCCTGTTCCACTCTGCGGACTGAATCCTTGGCTTGTGACATCTCCCTCTGCGCCTGCTTCCGCTGTTCTTCATAATCAGCCTCTAGCTGCTTCAATCGCTCACGCAGCACGTCTAATTGATTCTTCTCCTCGGGCTCCGCCCTAGCTGCTGCTTCTGCCGCTGCCTCACTGCGCGCGGCAGCAGCTGCCTCTTGTAACGCGTCACTGCTGGTGGAGGGAGTTAACGTTCCAGATGAAGATGCGGTGCTGCTCCGTTCGGCTGCAGCTCGAGCTTGCTGTTCAGCTAATTCTAATTCTTGCGACTTGGTTTCGATTTCCTGCTGTAGCTTTGCTACCTCTTCACGTTGCACTTCAACCTGAGATAAAGATAAAATGATTTAAACAATCTTTGCCTACGGCTATCAGTAAGGTGATTTACAATGCAACTGAAACACTGCAACAAAAATTGGGAAGAAAGTGCGAGTCAAGCAACATTTCTGTATACAACGAACAAAGTTCTGTTCAACACTACGCAATGTTTCATTTACTCTCCTCTGCGTGGACGCAATGACGAAGTAAAATATGATAAAAGAAAAAACAACTAGTTTAATTTTGATTTCTGAAGAAAAGGAAATGTCAAAGTTTTCAGTGCAAGCATTTGCCCGTAACAAATCTAACGCAATTCCAATTGAACGCAATCCTTGCGAGTCATCGCAAGTCCAAACGAAGCATTTTAGCCGCATATAATCTGACAATGATTCCATTCACGAAAAAAGCACGATACGAAATCAGCGCGCGTTCGGGTGCAAGTTGACAGAAGCAAAATAGCCACACAATGCAATACCAATCAGTGCAAGTCCAGAAATCGTTTCAGTATCAGGCTTTTTGTGATTATAACTAGCGAAATAATGAAGCTGAAAGCTCAGTTAAATGAAATACCTGTCGCCTTTCACGTTCCCATTTTCTTTCAAGGTCGTCTTTTATCCTGCTCATCTCCAATTCCTTGGCCATCACCTTTCTCCTGTGTTCCTCTTCAAGTGCCACTAAACGCTGCATCTCAGATTCCAAGCGCTGTCGCTCTTCATCCTGTTCTTGACGAATCCTTTCCTTCACCTGATTCATGGAAAGCAAAAAATTGGAAAAAAGACGCTCCAAAGGACTGACTAACTGACTGATTGACTGACAGACGGACGGACGGACGGACTGACATGACTGACTGATTGAGTGACTGACGGACGGACGGACAGACTTGACTGACTGACGGAATGACTAAATGACTAAATGACTGCCTGACTGACTGATTGTCTAGTTCTGTATTCATTAAATAACGCAAATATTTAAGACTAACTCACCTGTCTTATTTCTTCTTCTGCTCTTTCCCGCGCCTGTTCCTGTTCTTGACGAATTTCTTCTAAATACTTTTTCTGAAGTTCTAGCTGCTGGTGGCTCGCTTCCAACTCTACTTTTCGCTGAACTTCCTCCGCGCTTCTTACTTCCGAAGCTCTCTGTTGTTGCGAACGGAGGAACTCAAGTTCCCGCCTGCAATATGTTTAATTGCCCAAGTCAAAATTTTTTCAATTTGCCTGGACACTATTCTTAACGTTCTCTCAGCATTGTTTTGATATTTGCTGAGTCATATTAGAAAAAGTCGACTGTATCAACCATCTCTAAAACAAACAAAAACAGATCATAGTGTTCATCATCAGAAAGAAAAAGAATGTGTTCTACTTGTTTATTGCCGAAGTATGTTTCCAAACTGAAAAATGCGGTGTTCTTTGTGTAAGTGACTTGGTAGCAAGCGTTTTCCCGCGCTTTCGACCACAGGTACTTCCTTCGTGTTTCGATTGGTTCATTGCATGCTCAGGCATGTCAGCATCCACTGTGATTGGCCACAGCTGTGACTAAGGTGACCCGGATGGAGCAGTAAAATTCTCGGATGAACCGTTGAAAAGGGACGATGCCATAGTACAGCTCACTAAGTGACAGCTCTTTCATTTTGTATACGAACGAAAAACACGAAAGCGCAATATGAATACGGGTCATGTATGGGCACCAATCCTCCACAATTTAACGTAACGATAATCAGTTAATGAACAAGATAATGAGGTAATAATGGAGAAATCTGGTTCAATTCCTCACTTGGTTTTTGCTAGTGACTGATTATGATCATACAAACCTAGCCTCTTCTAACTTGTTCGCAGCCTCAACCTGTTGCGTTTCAAGACTCTTCCTGATGAAAAAAAAAAACAGACGGGACGGAAAGATCACTACAACATCTTAAAAAACATCAAGAGCAATTAGTTAACTCGAGTTTTAAGGCCGTTGTTGGATATATTTGGAAGCTAAAACGTTTCTTAAAAACCGTGAATTGGTGCTTCTTCAAAATTCATCGCTCTTCTTCCATGGCGTTCATTTTGTCAAATGTTGGTGAATTTTTCTGGGGTTGAATTCCAAATGACTGTATGTAAGTTTAAAAAAAGAACTAGAAACTAGTTGTCTTGGGTTCACGTCCTCAACAAAACATGAAATAGGGTATTTTCACATCGTGGTCGTTCAACGACGGCAAAGAATGTACAAAAAACGTTGCCGTCTCCGTCGTTGTTGCTTAAGCTTCCCATTATGATCAGTTCGACGTCTTAAAAACAAGAAAGAATCATGTAGAGAAACTTTGAGTGCACACACTCGATAATCAGATCCTCGCTAAGGTCCGCTGGCTTTGTTTTACACGAGCGTTATAAATAAGAGAATAAAAACGTTTGGAAGCCACTTGCACTCAGTTTCTGATCAACACAGATTTCACAGCATAGATAATTTCATTTATTTGCTTTTCAGCGGAATATGATTTAATGGCCGCTCTTGTTAGAGCAAGGTATAATTTACATGGCCCGTTAAGTTAGTCAAAATTCTGCCGGTGTGAACTAAATGGTACAGTTTTAAATAATATTAATATACGTGATGGTAGTAGAGTGATGAGACCTAGAAATAATTAAGAGTAGGCTGATCAAGCGTGAAATATTCAATCAAATTTGAGTCCATTTCAAGAATATACCCTGTGACTGTGAGCCATATTCTACAGCGCACTTGCACTTTCTGCAATAAACACACATGTCGTTCGCTCCTGTAAAGTTTGATAAAACTAAATATCTCGCTATTTACCTTTGTTCTTCTATTCTTCTCGTCTCTTCGCGATATTGGCGCTCAAGCTCCAAGCTGCAAAATAGAAAACAACAAAGACATTGATTTTCAAATACGTGACGTGATTTAGGAACCCAAAACCAATTAAAAGTAATTACTTTGGCCAATCAAAACAGGGAAAGACACCCGAACGATAACATCAGACCACGGATTAAAGAAATAGGGACCTTAAGATGAGAGGACGGCGACGACAGGGAAAACGTCGCTTAAAAAGTGAATTCCCGGTTTTTCAATCTTCATCGCGATTATTCTAACTCGCTTTATACTTTGTCAAATATATGCCAACTCTCCCGGATTTAAATTCCTACGAGACTCATCTAAGTTCAGAAAGAGAAAGAAAATTTCGTCGTTGCTTGTTTACATCCTCCACAAACATAAAATTAGGTATTTTTACGTCGTAGTCGTGCAGTGAAGGCAAAGAAATGTACAAAAAAGCGTGATGCACGTGCGAAGTTGTTGTTTAGCTTATTAAACCTATTGCTTTTTTAATGTTCTCGTTGCCGTCGCCGTCGTCGAATCTTGTACCCCGCCGTCAGAAGCGGGAAAAGGAGCGTGTGCACGTCACAATTTGTTTTGATTGGTTTAAAAATGTGGCGTTTGATATTTTCAGCCAATCAAAAGAGTAGAAGTACAAAACTAAAGCTATCGTGCCTGAAAACTGCCCCAGAGAAGTTCTGAATAGAGAATCGCGAGTTAATTTCGATTCCTTTAGGGTTTTGATGCAGTAAGCCAAAACAACATGATAACGACCAGCTACAGAGCGGAGCGTTTTAGAAAACTGGAAAAATTATGACACATTCGAACCACCATGTGGCCACTACGCGTACCCGACCAACAAATTTGGGCATTTGGGGTGATTGCTTCAGGTGTTTCAACTCTATTTGACTTTGCCTTTCTTCTCATTTCAGCTAAAGCATCTACTGTTGTGCTCTTATTTTGAATAAAGTTACTTTTTTAGAGTCGTAATTGGCTTCACGCTGTTGCGGTAACCATGGTCTATTTTAACTAATTAACATAAATTGAAACTGATAAAATAAAACTACTGATAAATAAAAGATAACGTGTGAACAAATTGGATTGGCCGTTAAGCGAAAAGTGGCACAGCGCGCGACGTTTGGTTGGATAACAAAGAAAGCGAACGGATTCAGAGCTGACGTTTGCTTTTTTCTTTGACGTCAGTCATTTTGATCACTCGAATACAACGCTTATTCCATTTTATGGATACATAATCTCATTGAGCAGAAACTAGTGAAGTTTCCTTCGATACTTGCAGACGTCAATCACTCAAGCCCCTTAACTCTAAAAGCCTGACTCAGTCAAAGAATGTTCAGTCTGTGAACCAAATCTTGTAATGTGACCCTCGCGCAGGAATTAAAGGCTACCCAAACGTTCTGACCTTTTTTAAAGCCTTTTTATTTTATAGAAGTAATATAAATAAAAGAGAAACCAGAAAAGACAAAATTACGTTCTGTACTTACCCTGCATTGTAGAACATATAAGACGGCTCCCTCTCGGGCTCCGATGAAATGTCTGCCAGATTTTCCATGGACTCATACTGAAAATGTTTTTAAAAAGTCGAAACTGAGTGGAAATTCTCGAAATGTACCGCATAATGTAACAGTAAAATAATTAGGAACGACAGTGATCGCGAGAATATAAACCCTTATGAAAGTTAAATGCAAAATTTCTAATTGCGCCGTCGTGCCCCATTATGTGGTACTGTGCGTGAGTGTTTGTTGTTGTTGTTTTGACTCATTTTTGTTTTGTTTTGTTTCTTCAATTTAACTGTGCATGGAATTCGTTGTTGTGAAAATTCATGAGGTACCCTTCCCAGACGAGGCCTATTAGGGCTATTTCTTTATAATCTTGAACGCTTTAGTTCTATTTTTGTATTTACTTTGTTAGAGTAGTGTCAGCTGTATTGCCTCTTGCAAGCGAAAAAATCTACAGTTAACTTACATATCTCTTCTTCCTGAGTTTCGCAGCCTCCTGGGGATGGTTGAAACGCAGCATGTTCGTTTTCCCAAGCAAGATTACATCTCCTACAAGTAGATAACAACGTTACTGAATTACAACATGAGAGTTCTCACAACTTCTCAAGAAGGTACAGGCCTTAAGCGAAACTAGTAGAATAAACATCTCTTCATATCCTGACATTGCCGACTAAAGTAACAGGCAAATGTTAAACCAAATTAATGTTAAAACGGGAGTTTTAATATAGGTGTTCGTGGTTTAAGCAGGTAAGTATTTTGAATTAATAATAAAATATTTATAGGTCTTATCGATAACCCACCTTGACTAATCCTTTGTGACTTGCCCACAGGGAGCCCATTCACCTGACACATGCTTGCGATTGGATGAAGGACCACAGTCCCCTCAATACTCTCCATAATACAATGTTCTGGTTCAATACCCGGCCCAGATAACACTGTAGATAAAAAAGATATACATCAGATCCCATTGACTTCACAATTAAATACTGTATTATTTTTGTCCTTTTAGAGCAATTTTAACAAACACGAAGAGAAATGAGAAAAAGCCATTCAGATACCTTAGCACCTGCTAACAATTGGGACACCGAAAATATCTCATCCAATGTCCAGACAGTGAGAAGGGGGTTGAAAAAACGAGGCACAACCAGACGTGTTCATTCGTTAAACAGCTAAGTGTAGATTCCTCAGACTTGTGTGTGTGTACGACAAGTTATTTCAAAACGGCATAACGTATTACCATTACCATGACAATCAAACCTTACCTATATCAGGATTAAAATTGGCATCCTCTCTTCCAATGTACGTCATGCCGTCCTGTGAATCGTAAGGGAAGCCTTTAGTGGCTTGCAATAAATTATATAGTCACGATCTACAATCCCAGACAAAAGTAGTTGGGAAGGTTGCACAACTTAACAGTAGTCCATTTTAATCTTCAAATCCTCTCTTTGCTAAATATCCCCCGTCCCCTCTTTTCAATGTTGGGATATAACAGAACAATTACGCGCAAAGGCATTAACATTTTGCTCAACATTGGGCCAGGGGTGGGGGGAGGGGGGAAAAAAGAGGTAAAAAGTAGCCGCCTTCCCAACACTTTTGACGATGATTGTAGCCTTCTCAGGCAAAATCGTGGCAGAGAAGGACTTGAAAAAGCCAGAGAGACCATTATTTGGTAGACTATTAGGCCATTCCGAGTTGGTTGGCTGGAGCCTCTTTTTCAAAAGTGAGACTACGTGCGAAGTTAGTTTATTTTATTGAAAACTCTTTTTTATTCTCATGTAAATAAAACTCATTTTCAAAAGCAAAGTTTTGCCCTTAGCCTCGTTTTGAAAGTGAGAGTTTTCGGAACACGGAAATGGCCGATTGACAGTTTACTAACTTTAAGTGATAGAGCGTGACGCGTGACGAGAGTTACCTACCTTCAAATGATAGAGCGTGACTCCAGTGCTCAGTACGTCATCATCGATGCAGACCAGATGAGGAAGCTCCGATTCCATTTTGATGCCAGCACCTTCGTATCTGAAGCCGAGAGCTCGTTCCTACAAGGAAACAAGAGAAGACAAAAGGAAAAATAGATTTTTAATAACATAATTTTGAATGCAATGTATTCCCTGCCCTCCTTACAGGACACTCGGGATGATTTGATTTTCTCATTAGCTCAGTTTTGTTTACCTCAATGATTTTCTGAGTTTCTCGCCATTTGCTTGTCCAGTTCTTGGTAAGTTCTTCAACACGAGCTTCATTTTCATGAAGCCTTTCAGTCATCTTGGTTTCTTCTGCGGCGCCAAGTTCCCCAATTCCATCCTGAAAAACAAAGAATTGGAGAAGGAGCTCTTACTAGGACAGCACAAGGCTTATCTGGCAACGACCCAACATGGCCTACTTATTTAAAAGCCCTTTCAAATTCATGCTGGTGAAAATTTTCAGCGATATTGGCTCAAATAATGAAAGGTAAAAATACAGTGTATGAGGCTACATCAAGACAATCATCCCCACTATGATATAGCAACTAGCAGTAATGCACTAGCAGTAATGCTTTCCACACCCCCATTTCCCCGCAACTGCAGTTGATGAGATGTTGGTCTAGCAGAGGGTTACCCCCTGCATATCGCTGACATCCATTATCCGGGGGACAGTGCAGGTTTCATCACTTGTTTTCACCCCACCCGACATTTTTTTCAGAACATTTAAAGCGGAAAGAGAGTTTAGTTCTTTGTATTGCGTTGACCAAAATAACTGAGTTATTTACTAGAGAGAGACTGAGTGTAAAATGCCATCCCCGCCCCTGCTATGCTAGGAAGAGCGCGGAGCGCGAGAACAAGGGCGGCCAATTAATCCCCCGCGGTTTTTATTTTCATGCGCGCGCTGGACGATCTCTACAGAGAAAATAGAGGGTCTGTGAACAGGTTACGCAAGCTTTTGCAAAGGAGTTCAGAACATCTTTTGACAAAACACTATCATTCTTTTCCTGGATTCCTTACCTGCCCATGAGCTTGAAGGAGTATTTTGAGTCGATCAATCTCAGCTCGTAGCTCTCTGATGAGTCTCACGTTAGGATCCTTAAAAATAAAGAACATGATTAACCCTTTATACAAAGACCCAAGAGTGGCCAATTTTCTCCTAAAAATATCAATACATAATCGAAAGAAAAGGCTACGACAATTAATAAAATGAACATCAGGAGAAAACTTTTTTAATCTGTTAACAAATTCTCTCCACTAATTCTCTACAGAAATGTATGGAGTACAGTATGGAGAATTTGTATGTGGACACAGGGGCAGGGTAAGTCGCGATAAAGGAAAAAAAGAAGCACAAAAACAAATTAATTAATAAAAATTTAACCTTTTTGACACAGATTTAGAGCACTGAAAATAAAGTCATTTACTTCTGATTTCTTCCGTAAACTATTTTTTTTGCTTTCTCGTTTTCTATAAAATGGAGTTTAAACTTTCACCTTTTTACATCATAATGACTAACCTCATTAACAGTGGGTTTATTGATGATATTCTTGGCTCTGTTGGCGTAGCGTAAAGTACTTAGAGTCTCTGCATAATTGACATCAGCCGGTGAAATAGCTAAAGGAAACAAAACATAACAGTTTCAGTTTGTTGAAGTGCCTCTTATCTTAGACTGTGCCAACTGCAGATGAGTTAAATGAAAGGGAAAGTCCGTCTAACAAACTGGCTACCTATCTTATACTAATATGCCAATTCTTCTTATATTTTTTTTCTTACCATTTTCTGGTTGTTGACGTTGTTTTTTGTTGTTGTTGTTGTTTGTTTTTTTTTCTGTTTTTGTTTTTCTTGGTTATGAATGAGTCGGCTTTAATTTTACGTCTCAGTTAAATAATTCTCGATGACTTTTTAGTTTAACGTCTCTAGTGTAAAAACGGCCATTAGGAGCAGGTCTTCAAAAACCGATTCACTGGCAATGTTATGGTGAAGGAATTATTTTTCGCTGGACTGAGTAACAACGAACTTCTTTTCTACCTGCTATCATGATTGTTTTAGCATTTCCTCCTAAGCTGTCTTTGAGTAACCATGTCAACACTGAGTTGCGATAAGGAATAAAGAGCTTCTTCTTGGCATCTTTGATGATGGCATTTTCACTTGCTTCAGCTACAATAAAGCAAAAGGAATAATTACCAAACAAAGACAAGCTTAACTAAAAATAATGACAATTTTTTATCCTATATATTCTAAGTGATGCAGGAGTACCCATTTTTGTATAATAAGAAGCAGGGAATTAGAGTGCTCCTGGATTTATTTCAGAAAGAGTAAGTTCCCAGGTTTTTCCCATATTCTTCTTGTATACTTTGCATGTAATGATTTCACCTGGAAATATTCTGTCCCAAAAAGCTGCCCTTTATTCTTCAATGATTAACCCTGACCATGATATACCATATTTCCCCGAATAAGCACCTGGGCACTTATTCAAAGGAGGGCAATTACTCAAGGGGGGAACTTAATTTTTTTTCCTTAAATGAATTAAAGAATGGTCTAGTTGTTCCTGGGAAGTTTACAGCATTACTGAGAGCGTGGGCAATAGGGTAAAAATTAGAAGAAGAGATAACGCACACAAAGGAACTCTACAAGCGCGCACAGGGATACAGAAATAACTAGAAGTGACTTAATGGCAGAGAAGCTACATTGTATTCTCCCATACTGATTCCGCTGAAGTCAACACCTAAAATGTTAAAAATAAAGTGGCAATAGAATTGAAGCTGCTTTTCATTGTATCCCTACTATTTAAGAAAGTGAGGGGAAGGCGAGTGGGGCGCTTATTCGAGGGGGGCATTTACTTGATATAATGGCCTTGAGGGTGGGTGCTTGTTTGGGAGAGGGCACTTATTAGAGTGTGGGCGCTTATTCAAGGAAACACGTTTACAGCAGGAAAGCTGTAACTTCCACGTAAATAATCTACAAAGGAGATACCATGATGTTAATACTTCCAAGTAAATATTTAAATTGCACATGTGTTTAGAAGCAATTTTGGAGTGGAAAAATTGGTAGCACACCTGCATTCAGTACTATGGCAAGATATGTAATACCCACAGACATCGTTCACACATTGTTCTTACAAAGTGCTCAAAAAAATAGAATCTATCTGAGTGTGAATTCAATATAATTATAATACCAAGTGCTGAGATAACTGTTCCTAATGTGACCAGAGATTTATTGATGTTGGCTCCTTCTTTTAATCTGCTTCCTGTTGCACCAGTAGAGTTTGCTCTCTCGCTTTAAAGGAAAGATGTATAATGTATTTGTTAATTTATTTTGTTATTTACATACACTGTATTTATCACTGGCAGCATTTAATATCTTGCACATAATAAATTATATGAGACAGTAACATTGCACAGTAAACATCTCAAGTCAGATCTGCATCAACATGTATAGCCTCAATAGTGTTTTATTCTCCTGTTTTTCAGAATGCCTTAAAATGGAACTGATTCTATCCAACAATGTTGGATAATATTGAGCAGTATAAAGTTTCAACTGTATTTAAACAAGTTAACTAACCTTCCAGCCAGGTCAACAAGGTGAATCTTACTAACAGTCTCACTTGGCATATCAGTATAGAACTTGGCCTACAATTAAGCAGTCCAAACATTCAACACATTAGCATGTATTCCCAATTTATGCACTGCCATGCACACAGTCAAAGAAAATAGAAAAGGCCAGATTTACAAATTCAAATAAGATTTGACAGGGCTCAAAAAACGCCATGCACCTACTTGTCCAGGACAAGTACACATCATATAAGACTTTCTTTCTGATAATGAGTATATTGAAACTTGCAAAGAATGCTTGATGAGAAAGGGTCTAGGCAATTCATCTTGTAGCTCAATCATTTAGCGAACACAATCAGGCGAGCAATGGCCACAGGCAAGCTAAACGTTATAGCCCATGACCAAAGTACAATAAGCTGGAATTCAGGTTTCCTATAAAACCCTAAATTAATGTCAGATCATGAAAGCTGTTGTTCATTCAATATTTTATTTCAGGCAGCTGAGAAACCATGCACATCCAGCAATTGGTCAGAGATTAGGACTCGAACTCAGGACTGGCAAGACAGGTGCTGTGATCACCACTCCACCATGCTGTCACTAAAAAACTAACCTGTGTGAATAATATGGTGAATATTGCATGGGATCGACTGCTCACATCATTCATGTTGGTAGATGCTACCGTCCTGAAATATTGAAATAAGAGAATCTGGATGAGAACCATGAGCACATTGAGCAAACTTTTCTGAACTACCCACACACAGACTCAAAGAAAAGAAAATTATTATAATGCAGGACAGATGCTTTGTGCGGCATGTTTGGGAAAAAGTCGTTGTTGTTGTTAATTTGTTTGTTTTTATATATATATATATATATATATATAAGAAGATATAACGAAGAGACAAAATTCTCTGTTACTCCGAGTTTCGTGCTCACGCACTCATCAGACAGTATTTAATGGAGAATAAACCTATCAAGTTATATATATACACGTGTCTATTGATTACAAAAAGCAGGGCAGTGCGGTTCTAATTACAATTAGGTGTGAGGAAAAACTAATAGAGTGTTGTTTTTGAGTCAATTGTTCCTAAGGTAAAACTTGTTTTCGTGGCGGCACTTGGAAATCAGTTCTGATCTTTTATCTAGGATTCTGTCGGGGTTTGCAGTAATGATCATTAGTTTCTCTGTTAAGCATAAGTCGCATCGTTTAGAAATGTTGTTGTAGGGTCTTGCACGGCTGATTATAGTCCATTTGATGTTGAAGTCTTGATTATTGTCACGTAGTTTCCAGATGTATTTGGAGAGTTCGGTGCTGTTCGTGTATTTCCTGTGTTTAAATGTCGCTTTGTGTTGTGAAAATCTTTGTTTAAACGTCCCTTCTGTCAGTCCGATATAGTTCTTGGTTGCGTTGTTTGCAGTCACTTGTGCATTGTTTAACGGCTTTAGCCACTTTATTACACGTATATATATATATATATACTTTACTAACAGTAAGCTGTACATACTATACAGTAAAGGCTGGTTTCAACATGATGCTATAGTGATCACTGAAAAAAACCCAGGAAACTGAGGGATCCCAGCAACAATCAAGTGGATTAACCAAACTTGAGATAGCAAAAAAGTCTAATTCATTACTGCAGTGTCAACCACTGCCACAATCATTGAAGAGTTGTTTGAAACATTGTAAACTTTATCAGTATTGCTTCAGTGATCCTAGCGATTGAAGCAATTCCTTTACATGTACAAGCTGGCTTGCTAATTTCTCACCTGTTTGTGTTGCCTTCATCCATGAGATTCTCAATGCCTTCATAGTCCTTCACCACATGCTTTGTCAAATCTGTAATACATATTACAAACTTCTACATTAAGTACTATGACTTGAAAATTCAAAATACGCCACGTTTTTGAAGTGTTGATGCAGACTACACTGTTCAGCAGTTTTGGAACAGCATACACTGACATACCACTACCCCTACATGTAAGGTATCAAAATATTTTGATTGAGATTTGAAGTGAGGGTGGGAAAAATCACATTATTTTGGTTTGAAACAGGGTACCCAAACTCCGCCCATCTGGGACAAGAACAGCATTTTATTATAAAAACAAGAAAGCACAGGACACCTATCCTCACAATAGTCACAATACATGGGATTTTACCCACAAACGACACAGTTAAAACTGCCTTGTTAAAGGTAAAGGTGCACTTTGAGCCAATGCTTGGTTCCAGAAAGTATCCATGCCTACACCAAGGAAGATTATAAGAAATTCTAAGGAGGTTATCAGAGGGTCTAATGTTAAAAGGAAAGTATGGATCCATAAAACAGTAAACCCTCCATGGGAAGGAATGGATAAAATCATTTTCTGGACCAACACATTGCAGGAGCATGTGGCTGTAGATGATCCTGGTTTCTGTATCATAAAGCACTCCCCACTGGATAGGATGGCAGCTCAACAGACAGTTACCCTCAACATTGAAGTACTGTATGTCCCTTATAGGCATCCCAATAGAGACCAACAGCAATTTTCTCCTAACGATACCCATACATTATCATGAGATGAGGTTATGAGAATTAATTAAATGATCACCTAAGAGAAAATACTTTGATAGGAAATGTATAGAGATCAGTTTGGAGAATTTGTATTGAATATTGGGGCTTAAAGGATAAAAGCTTGGTGTAGAGGAGATAGAACCGCAAGCTCTAGCTTAGCCTGTGCAGAGGGCATTAGAAAGAGAAGAGGAAGTGAATTGGCATGCCCTTCTTCCTTCTCATGGGCTCAAATTCCTATTCCTCCTCCAATGCCTAGCATGCATACTAGCTCCAGCTCTGAAGTCCAGATGCATTACATGTACTTTAGTATGGCAAGGCTCAAAAAAGGTCCCCTCCAGTAGTCCAGGACAAGTAGATTTTCAGCTGGGCAAGTAACCTTTAAAGCTTACTAACCCAATGGGCAACTGGTACAGGCAAGTCATCTACTAGAATAAAATCATTAAGAACGACAAGCAAGAAGTGGTCCAGGATGAGCAAAATGTGAGAGCTGCTTGCCCAAAGGACAAGCTCAGGAATTCAAGTTTTTTTCTTGTACTGGTAAGGTACTGGAACTGAAAGTGTTACTAAAAAAATAACTCAGCAAAACACGCACCTTGTACATAAGGCCCCTCCTTAGGATGCTCTCTCACTTTGAGAGTGTATTTGTCCTTTCCTTTTGCTGGTCGCAGGAGATCTCCGACTCTTTCATTGTATATTTCTAGATAACTATCAGCAATAATAAATAATTATTTAAAATACATGTACAGTACTACTAACTGGGTTTTCACACCAGACTGAGAACAAATAATTTTGCACATAATTATTCAGGTCAGAATTAATGACAACATACTCATTACCTGACTTCAGTTCTAAACTCAGTTTTGTCATCACCACTGGACTCCATGCGTGAATACAGGCCCTAGCAGAAAAAAGTATTAAGGATAAACTACATGTACAGTCTAAGCTCTCTCCATGGATAATCTCATAAGAGAACAGCTCTACAAGCAGCAAGCTCCAGTTGACTGTTGTGGAAACTTTTTTAGCTTCCAGAGGGTGTCTAATTAAAAGACCTTTGACTGTATTACACTGCATCAACATTATTTTCAGGATGGAAATACAGTGCACTGTACTTAACAACAGAACTGTTTTACTGAGAGAAGACATTGGGTTTTACAGGTGTATGGTAATTGTGCCATGGTGGACAGTTTTTCATGGGGTATTTGTATAACACAGCATTGCAGCAATCGTTGATTCATCCTTGTGGTGTTACAATGTCATCACCTCCTGATGTTCCCCTCTAAGTTAATTAGGACCATAATAAAATATAACATAATTATAACAAAAAAATGTGTAGTTAGTTCATACCTGACATATTCTTGGTATAAGCCCGGGTGCAGTCTAAAATAAAGTTCAACATCAAACAAAGAAATATGTTATAATTACTGTTTCACATGGATTGTTGATGTAAAATAAAAATGTCATTACAGTGAGACCTTGATTTAACAAAATAATGCCTATATAACGATGATATTCTTGACCTCAGTAATTAGCAAAATATATGGTTCAAAGTTAAGAACCTCAATATAATGAAACCTCATTATAATTAACGAACAGTCATATTTTGCTGGTCCCTTAGCCCTTAGTCACATTATAGAGGTTCCACTACAGGTATTATTTGCAACCCAGTTTGAATATAAAACTTCAGAGAGGTTTCATTTGAAGACACTTCAAGTTCAATAAATAAATGGTTGGTCTATATTTTGTCATGTAGTATGCTGACACTCAGCATGAATGTCAACAACTTTAATACTTAACTCTCGTGCAAACTGTTGGAGAAATAATCATGTAAAGTGATTCGTTGATTAAGATCGTGATCGTATGACCCTCTCTAGGGGATTACAAGTGCTCCTCGATTGCATAATCTTGTGATTTATTCTCTCGCCTTGTAGCTTATGTTGTTCAGTTCTAGTCATAACCTTCTTTCGGTTCGGATTAAAGATACATAATTTTTCTTAATATAAACTCCTTTTACCACAGTAACCCATGTCATGCAAAATTTTTAAAATAATGGACATCCAGATAATTTTGTTATTAATAATCAATTTAAAGATATTAAGGCATTAAATACTTCCTGTCATCTATTGTTACAGATGGCAAAGATGGATATCATGGATTGAAACTTAAAAAACTTGAGCAAACTTTTCTTAAGTTTTAACGTTATGCCTGCAACAATAACCAAATGGGTAGTGCTCACTCTTGTCTTCCTAACAACTCACTGCAAGAGCATTTTGTGCATTGATAAAGGCAATAGCACTCTGAATTTATCTTAAAGCAGCAGTATGCGCATGACATACCTTTTTACTTTTACTTTTTTCCGGATAATTGTACATTGTATAAAGTTACAGTGTTCTTACCAGGATTTCATATGCTGGGATATATAGGACCCATAGAGAAGCTAACAGGGGATCATGGGAGAGAAAAGCAGGTCACAATTTTTAGATACAGTTAACTCAATGTTTTCACAGCTCTGAGTCTTCGATAATGATGGATGTTTTCTAAACACGCCATAACCAATTAAATTTTGGCTTACGTTGTAAGGAAATGTATACACTGTATGTGTAGGTACGTTTACATACATTTTGTACTAGGTGTTTTCCCTTCCCTTTTTTGTACCCTTGGGACTCCTTAGGCTAATTATAGTGTGGCATTTCCCAAAAAAGTGTGACAATGCCGCAATGCCGCAATACTGCGGTCTGGTAAGAACACTGAAGTTATGAATACTTACATCCTGTCCCATCATGCTATATGACTTGCCAGCCCCAGTCTGACCATAAGCAAATATACAAGCATTGTAGCCTTCAAATGCTGCCTGAATTACATCATTTCCCAAATCCTCAAACACCTAAAAATCAGCAGAACAGGATCATGATTCAGTCCATCAGACTTTGGCCTGGTAAAGATGTTAAACCTTGTCCTTTTAATTATTTGCTGTCATTAGCATCAGGATTGTCAAGTGACTGTGAGGTAGGATGTTTGAAATTTTCAAATTAATTTTGTTTCTGGGCATTAACAGTCAACTGTCTCTGTCCCTTGTGATGCTAAAAAAATGACAATGCTGGCCATAAATCTTTCTCTCTAATCATATGCAGGGCAGTCCTAGAGCCCGGAGGACCTGAGTAATAGGTCAATTCAATTCGTTAATGTTGCCATTTGCGTGCAGCTCGTTTGGCCGTTTTGCTCCCAGCACTGCCTTTGACCCTCTGAATAACTATGTCTTCCCTACTTGCTTGCTGGAACCTTCCCCACATGCTTATACTGGTGATGGGTTTCATAAGAGACAGTTTACGGTATAATATTAGGCAGACACTTTTCAAAGATGGACAGTCAGAGCTGGTCCAATCAATTTTGTATTAAAAAGAGTTGACTGAAAAATTTGTCCAGTGAAACATTATCGTTTGCTCACTTCCAAGAGCAATTCAGAGAACTTTTGATTTAACAGACCACAAAATCTGTTTAATTTGTGAGCACTTTTTTACATTTTATGACAACGAACATGGTTGTTAACATGAACTAATGACATGATTTTACCAAACAGCAGAAGTATAATTACGTAAAACCCAGTACAATGTTAAAGAGACAACAGTCCAGTATTTATGCTTCTCTATTAAGACAAGCTCTGTAATTCTGATTATATAAACATTGTACTTTCTGATTGTCATTTGAAGTGGGTTATGTTTTTACAAATATCTGTGCATGATTGGCTTTTAATTTCAAGGATGGTTAACAACATAAAACATTTATACAAACAGAATTATTTACATTTTGTTCTCTTTTGATTTATGATTCTCATGCATGCAGTGAACAATCTGTAATCACTATTGAAGTAAACAATAAATTTGAATTTATACTTTACGTGAAATCAAACTGTTACCAGATCGTGAAACAGATTTAGCACTACAAAATCAAAACATCATCAAGACATTCATAAAGGGCGGTATAATTTTAATTTATGTCTAAAGAACGAATTAATCAGTGTTTTTTAAACTGAAGGTTCAACTCTGATTCCACATGAAATAACAGCAATAAATTTAAAGGAAAATTGATTTTTCATTGTTACGATTCAATCTTATAGATTGCCAAAAGGCTTATATATAGTTTGATCAGTGTTATTTTAAATTTGGCTTGCAAAACAAATGAATATAAGGTTATAAAAAAGCAGACAAATGTAACATATAGAAAACGGAAATAGGATCCCAAAATAAACGATGGCCAGTGAGTTGCAGCCTTTGAAAAAATTCGAAAACAAAACATTAGCTTACACCACTGTTGCTAGAAATTTTTCAGTGGATTAAAAACAAGTGTGGATCACTCTGGGGTCAAGAATACCCATTGCTAGCAAATCTACGTGAGACTGTGTATAAAATTTCAATAACTGATTACATATTCACAATGACGTACGAATCGCCAACTGCACGAAAATATCTTCGGTCTGGATTTAAAATTGTATTTAAAAGGAAGCTAAATTCTCAAAAAAATCACCTGTTCCTGCGAGGCGAAATGCCGGTCTGAGCTATCGGCGGACCAGTAGGAAAAATCATATGAAAAGTCCTTGTCTTCTCCCTAAAAAAATGAGAGAATTTTTATAGACTTCATAGACTACCGTAATTTTACAAGATTGCAGCAAAGAAGCAACTGTCCACCTACGTAAAATGGACGAAAAATTTCTCAAATCACTTACGGCGGGACTAGTGATTGTAGTTTTCTTCCCTTCCATATGAATGCAAACTTTTGCGGCCATATCGCGTTCCCTGGACGATTCAAAGAAGACATTTAACCGATTTTTACAAAGCGAGGCATTCGATTTCGCCGGCTCTGCCACGAACGACAATATAACTTAGAACGAAAATATTTTCCTCACCTTTTATTAAGGGGCCGCACTCTGACTGCTACTTTGACCGAAGCCATATTAAATCGTCCTATATCCCTTCCTTTAAGCCATTTTTGAGGGTTTCATCGCCAAATCAAAGCTTGCAATGATAAATTGATATTTCTGAATCATTCGAAAATATCTTACCACTCGCGAGCCTGCGCACACAGACCGCTTAGTCGATTTGGACTGGAAACGAGCGCGGAAGCGCGGAAGTCACCCCGTTTTACAGGGGTGGGGGTGGGGCCATAGGGGCAGAATGGGGAAAAAAGGGAGGCTGATTTTCTTTTACCCTTTTGCTGTTTTTTTTTTTTTTTTTTTTTTCTGTTGACGTCAATGTGGCCAAAAATAGACACTTCTGAAAAAAATACCTGGATCCCCCAGAAAACCTTGAAACACTTTTAAAAATTTGCTTCCCTTTCCTTGAACGTTCTTTGTTTGAAACACATGAGATGAAAATTCCGAAAAGTTTACAGTTTTTTTGTTGACAAGGAATGAGCAGCAAGAGGCAAGAGAAGGCACTCACCTACTCTAGATTTGAAGTCAAATTACTAAGGCAATAAACTTTTATAGAACACCGTTTACAACTAATTTTATCCTATGTCAAAGAAGGACTAAAATCACTGGGTGTGGTCAAGAGAGGACCCGAGTCACAAGTGATTTCTAGAGTTTATTCTATTTAGTCTTAATTCCGTAATACAGTCAATTGAACAAACCCTTAGACAGGGAAGAGGCCTGGCTGGGAACAAAGACGACCAACAATAACTGAAAAATAAGAAACAAAAGATTTTACCGCCTGCTCTCACCTCATTACTGTCATTTGTCCGAAGTGCAATGCGTCGTCTTTTGAGGCAACCACGTTGTAATGTCATACATTGATCAAGGTGGGCTCATATATATTCGGTACAAAAACCTGTGAACCTCACGAGTGACGTGAAACAATTCATACAAAGAAGCCTGTGAGAATTCAACACAGTAGAGCCAAGGAAAATTATAGTTAGAAAACAAAGAAAAACTTCACAGGTTTTTACACCAAGGATGTCCCTCTAGGTGCGTGAAAAACGAATCGAATAACACAAAACTAGTAAAGCAATGCAATCTAGACTGCAGACCACGAACCTTAAAAAATTCGTCTTCTATAAAAACCTTATAGCCTGCGCCACAGACGAAACTAAATTCTGAAAGTTAAGTTGAGTTAACCGAGGTTAAATAAGTTACACAGAGTAAAACAAAAGTTAATGCTCTTGCAACCTTCTGTTTGAGCGACGTAGAATTTAAGTCTTATGGATTGATTAATTACAAATGCACTTATTTGGAGGAGCAGAAAACATTATCAAGGCGTCTTTGAATAATAAGCAGCTGAGTAACACTCTAGTTGACTTACAGCACAACGACTTTCTTGAAAACAATTGGAGAAATCACCTTTTTGCAAAAGGTCGGTTTCCACTGAGATATGTGAAAAATGTTTCTTGACTGAGATGAATAAATTTACCTGAGGGGTATAAAATCCATGGGACACACCTATACACGACCTTCGTTGCTGTGTTGCTGGAAAGGGGAAATAAATCTCTGGTTTCTGTCGCGCATTTGGATTTCGCAGGCGACAGCAGGTTTGTTCTCTTCATTTCATTTCTGCTTTTATCTCGTCAATAGCAAAGATATCACTAAGTGGATGGAGACTAACGACAAGCCTGTATTCGAATATATAAGATTTTTATATATTTATTGATAACCTGCTGGAGCAAAAACAGTATTGATGTCATTCACAAAACTAATTCATTTGTGTTCTCCTTCCTTCAACATTGAGAATGTCTCTAAGACTACTGTTAATTTCCTTCGCAGAATCAAGTTGTCTTGCGCGGGGCAACCAAAATTAGATGTGGAAACCCTTTGGCGTGGCGTCTCTGTTTGTGCCACGTAATGATAACACTTCACTGATTTTGGTTATGGACCTTTCTTTATTTAGTGTTAGAAAATAGAGTGATACATGCATCGACCAAACTGAAGAAACTCAAAAGCGCTTTATCCTCCTCTATTTCTACCAGGAATAGATCTATTCATTGCTGTTTCGATGTCGATGTGGTTTGTTTCCGTGCAACAGCGGGAAAATCTATGAATTTGCATGTTACTGAAAGACTGGGGAAGGAACTTTTAACAAATTAAGTTTAACTTATCTTTTTTATGTCAGGCAAACCGAAGTAATATAAAGCTGATGGGACTCACAACATATTCCCGCTCCATGCACTGTGCACGAGAGGCAGAATCTATTCGAAAAACAGATGAGTATATTATGTTCGTTTGGTTTTTTACATTTTAAGACTCAAACGTCCTCGCAGTATCGAAAACAGAAGGATAAAAATTTAATTTGAATGTTAAGTTCGTTGATCTTGACTGTTGATTTGCTGATTTGTGAAAAGCTTAGAATATGAAGTTGTGATAAAAATTCTTTCAGGCCTCGAAAAGAAAGTTTAGGTGACTAATTAAAACCAAAAACAATGCAGTTTAATTCCGTCGGCGAAAGTGGGTTATGCATGCATCAATTTTAATACCTCTCAAAGGTAAAATTAATATGCTAAAAGAATTCTTTATTTTTATAACATTTGAAAAAAGTTACAACCGACTCGCAAAAGGGAATGCGTCAATACACTTTAATTTCATCTCTTCCAACCAATCATTTCATCTCTTCCAATCAGTTTTCATTTAATTCAGCCCAATAATGTTGGGCACTTTTCTGATGAGTGACTGGAATGAAAGAATCCAAAATGCAAACATTTTGAGTGAGGCGGATTCTGTTTAAAAGGCTCTCAGAGCCCCAATATCTTGGAACATTTTCTGGAACAGTTTATGAGCAGTTTATATTTAGACGCTGAACTACAGTCTACAATTCTTAAGATATTGTTTTCTACCGTATTCGCTTTCCTAGTAATGCTTTTGGGCAACAGATAGGTCATCACTCATTCGGTAGTTTTCTCGGAAAAGGGCTGATGCACATTGGCAGGCCAATCCAAACTATTTGAAGCCGTGTGGGGTCATGATACGACCGTGATTGCCAGCTTGATTCTTGGAGTGAACAGGAGAAATGAGACATAAATACCGATATTCACATTTTCTTTGTTCATTGTTCGTGATACAGCGTACAGCCAGGAAAATAAAATTGACTTACCTTATATACGTCGTTTGTGTGGTTATTTCTTTCTTGCTACTGAAGTCCTACGAAAAAAAGGAAAAACAGACTAGGCGTGCATCAATTTTTGCCACATTGGGTTCATTATTTTAACTTCTAAATTTTGCTTTCCAATGCATGGCGATTGATGAGTAGAAGTGGGAAAAATTTAATACAGATTAGAGGGCATCGGGCGATCACAAGACAAACTTCGAAGTTCATTTTTGTCTCATATTTTCGGTTTTTTTCTCGACTGATATTAAGCTACGTTTTTTATTTTCAAATATTCTTCCACTTCTTTGAGTTTCAATCTTTTACTCAAAATCTAATTTCTCTTGGTGCTCTCTCTTTCGATCATGACTTTAATCAGTTTTCTGATCGCCACTTCAGTTTTCACTTTTTTAGAAAATATTTTTTAAAGTTTATTCAACGTTCAAACTTGAAAACTTTTCAAACATTTTTGGTTTTTTTTCACTTTTCATCATTTAAACTTAAATCGAGTCTTCAGTCGGAGATTTCAGTTAGTGTTAGACTAAAAGAATGGCAAGAATGGATTGCGAACAAACGAACAATTACTCCATAAAACTTCTCTTCAAATTCCGATACTGATGAACAATAATTGTCATGATTACAATGCAACAATTTGATAGAAGCATGGTTGTTTTTCAAGCTAGCTTGTATCGCCCTTTATTTTTTTAACGCGGAGGTTTTGAAATTTAGAAGTTTCGTGAATCAATTTATTTCGAATTCAATTGAATTGAAATTAACAGTGGAGATAAAAAAAAATTCTTTTAATTTTTGAAGAATGAAAACGAGTTTAGGAAGATTGTATAATTGCAGGAACTATTAAAATGGAAAAATGGACCAAGATATATAAATCAAAGCTACCTAAGATATATCTTAAGATATAACTTAGGAGAATATTCAGGACATTTCTTAACGATGTCCTTTATACAACAATATCCTATGCCTACTTTATCAGTAAGGTAGACTTGGATTTTCTTACAGTACTGTGAAGAAAGAATGAGAACGAAATTCGCCGAATTTCGCTCCACCATTAATTCTCGAGAAAATTCGCCGAAATTTTACAATGAAACTTCGGCAATTATTCCTCTACAAACATTAGTAAACGAAATTTCGTGTTTTCGCACAGACGAAAGCTCGACATACGGGTATTTTCGAGCGCTTATGCATCGCGGCAATACAAGCATAAAAAGAGGTCGCTGTTTTCTTTTTCAAGGATTGCGCATGCCCAGTCTCTTAAATTTAAGTTTTTCTTACAACGGATAATTTATTTTCACTTCCGGGATGCGTTCGTGAATCCAGCCCACCGCTTTAAACGTATCACAACTGAGGGACAAAGGATGCTGACTTCGATATTTATGGCACATTTTTCCGATCCCTTGAATCAAGCGGAGTTAGATTGCCGGTGCATAAATAGACTTAGGTTTCATTATCCTGGGAACGATCAGCGCATTGTGACGTCATACGTCCTCGTATAGTTTGGATCCACTGCTTTTGTGTAAACTGACCCGAGAAAACTACCTTACACATGTTGACCAATCTGTTGTTCAAATGACATAAGCATAGAAAAAGTGGAAAATTTTCCATGAAAAAAAATTGGCATTTTAAACTTTTTTAGGTTTGGCATAGGTTTTTCGTCTTAGCTAAAAAAATACCGTTTAGAATTACACCGTTAATGTACAAACATATTTTTCGATCAGGTGATTCTATAAAGAGACCTAAAAAGTCTTTTAGAGATATAGAAATTATAACGCAATAAAGTGCGCAAGGATTGGAGAAGAGCATCGATGCAAATTTACATTCTACTGTTAATATCTTAGAATAAAATACTTTGTTGATTGGGATGAGCTG